TCAAAGTATGTGACTTCAAAAGGGTCTTGGAAAATGTGCACTTTTAAATCCATATTTCCAAGAACCGCTTGAAGTACCCTCATAAAAGTATGCATGGAAAAAGAAATTGGAAAAATGTATTCAAATATATACACTGTCCTTGTCTCTAAGAAGTAGAATTGTAGGGGAGAGGGTGATTTGCTGTATCATGTACCTCTTCAGTTTTGGAAATTTTTACATTGTCTTTTTTTTTTTTTAATTTCAGTAAGCAAAAAAATTGTCATACATTCAACAAATATTTAAATGCCAACAATGTACCAGCCATAATGAAATAGTTATAGAAATTTTGAAAACTAAATGTAAAGATTTTGAGTATTACAACAGAGAACAATAATGAATACTACAATGAGACATGTGAGCAGTTGGAGGTCCCTAAGGTACTTGTGGAGCATGAGACAGTGCTGCCTACCTGCCGGGACTGCCATCAGTCTCTGGTTCCTAGATTTGTGGTTCCCTCTGGATACCTTGTACCCAAATCCCAATCTAGCTTCTTTACTGGCTCTTTCCATTTTCAGTGCTAAAACATCTTCTCAAGGCCAGCGTTGTAGAGCAGCAGGTTACAGTGCTGCCTGCTATGCTGGCATCACATATGGGTACCGGTTTGAGTTCTGGCTGCTCGACTTTTGATCCACCTCTCTGATAATGCAACTGGGAAAGCAGCAGATGGCCAAAGTTCTTGGGCCCCTGCTACCCACATGGAAAACCTGGCATCAGCCTGGCTCAGCCCTGACTGTTGTAGCCATTTGGGGAGTGAACCAGTGAATGGAAGATCTCTTTCCAACACATACATACATATATACATACAAACAAACATAAATATTCTTTTTAAAAAAGAATGGAGGCCTACACACTTTCACATGCTAATGGTGGGAATGTACTTTGCTACAAATATTTTGGAGCACAGTTTTTCAATACATATTCAAAGCCTTAAAATATTTGGATTTTCTTATAGAAATCAGAATAGTGGTTACTTCTGGGAGGTTATTGACTAGAAAGGGAGCTCATTGTAGCCACCTATGATACTGGAAAAGTTCAATATGAGAGGGCTTCAAAAATTCATAGAAAATTCACATTATGAAAAAACTATGCATGGATTTCAAAATTTTTTTGCGCAAAAATAAACTTATCTTTTAATTTCACTCCCACAAACTTTTAAAAGGACCCTTGTATCTTATCTGAGTCATGGTTACAAGTGTGTGTGTGTGTGTGTGTTTGAAAATTTAGCAGTATGTACACTTTACTATATGCATGTAGATAAAAAAATTGATTATATATTTGGAACTTTCAAGTTCATGATTCCACTACAATGTTGTGTAAAAAAAAGACACAATGATGCAGTTTATTGTGTTGTTTTCAATGTTGAACAATTGGAAAACTCTAAACTATCCAGTAAGAGTGGAGTGGAAAATAAATGTTGCATTCACTTAAAATCATACTATCAAACATTTCTCATAGATATTGGGAAACACTTATGATGTAGTGTTTGGTAACTAAAGCAAGCCACAAAATAGAGAGAAAACAATAACAAAGTAGACAGGTACTAGGGCTATTCCAGTGGCATCTTAACTGCTCAGCCAAATACCTGCCCTGAGTTGTACTATTATTTCAAAGCCCCTCACTATCTTTTGTCAACCTAAATCTGGGAACTGAGAGATGGGTTGGTGATAAGCAGAGTTCAGACGTAATGGCTGGGACACATATATGCATGTGCATTTGTGGACACTTGTGTGCTCACTGTTTTAAATATGCGTGTGTGCATGTACATGTGTGCATGCATGTAGACATGATCCCTTTAGCCCACATTCCCAACTTTGCAATCAGGAAGGTATTATGGTAATTTAACTAGTGAAGTTGATCATCAAAATAAGGAGGTGATTGAGTATTATAGCTATTCCCAGAGTGAATGTGCTAGAGACAGAGTGCCATCTGGCATCTTTCTAATGGCCTGATGGTTTCTGGGCAGAGCCCTCATCATTGGTTTGAAGAAGATGGAGAGAAGTAGATTGCAGTTCCTTTGGCAAGTATTTCCTGATGCTATAAAACAGTTTACAATACTGTATGCTTGATTAAACTTAAACTGAAAAGGATTTATTTTAATAAATTCTTTTTTTATAAGAAGCTAACCAAGCAGTTTTATAGCAACATTCTCTTGTGTGAGAGAACTATTCCCTCATCTAGATGGCTTGTGTATTGGTAAATTTTACTATGAGTCTATTTATGTTTAAAACACACATGTTTTGACATGAACAAAATCAGAACGAAGCCTTAGAAAAATTGTCCTTTGCTTTTTAAATTGTCCAGCTCATTCTGAGTTAAAATAAACTTTCTTTGGAAGGAAGAGAGTTTTATGTATCGGACTAGGTTGAAACATGGGTTTTTTCTTCTGTAGTTCCAATTCTAGTCCCTCCCCTTATCCCAGATCATCTCTCCAGACAACCATACCATCTCTGGGGAGAAGACTGCTACTACTCTCCGAGCTGCTGCAGCTGCTGCTATTGTCACTACTACTGGTCTCAAAGTCATTTTTAACTTGACTGAGTGCCTGCTGTGTTCCAAGTTCCATAAGACACCCAAGAGACAGCATGGAAAAAATAGATAGTATTCTGTTCTTTTAAATAGCCAACTCCAGTACTACTTCTAAACATAACATTTAATTTTCACACAGAATTCAGGAATACAGATGTTGCAGAAAGCAAAGCTCACTCCTGTTAAAGGTACCTCACTTGTTTGTAGCTTTGATTATAAAGATCACATTAAATATTTTCTCTGCATCATATGATGGGTATTACATTTCTCTCCGAAGTGAAAAGGACTCGTTCTGTCCATTGAAACTATCATGGCACCGTAACAGGTTTCTACTTGGCTTCTTTAGGGATCTCCAGCTGCATCATTGCTAAAGGGGGCCTGAGCTTCTCTATAAAAGGTAGTAAATAGGCTTTTCCAGCCTTTATAAAAGCTTCTTTTCTTCAAAGCAACTTTCTTTCACAGAACAAAATAAGTTAATTATAAAGCACTCGTTAAAAATCAGTAATGGTTTCAGGAGTCCTTCACGTTAAATATGAGATATTTAGAGAGCAGGAAAAAGAGGTAAGTCCAAAGGATAAAAAGACTATCATTGCAATAGTATAAATATGGGATTTCCCTCTGCCTTTGTGGAGCTTGTGGAGGCTGACACATAAGCTAAACATGCTGAAGATAGACACCTCTACAACCATGGGCATCTTCTCTCTATCTAGGGCATAGATCATACATTTCCAAACTATGTCTATGGTGTAGGTTGCTAATGATACCTGACAAAGCATTCAATCTGTCCCCTGGGGTGTCCAAGTTCTTTACAAAGTGCTTCCTTTTTAACCTTCAGGAAGTATCTTTCCTTCCTTTGGAAAATGGGAAAGTGTAACCCCCTTCAGTTGCATTTCCTGGATAAGGAAACAAAGCCTCACAGTAGATTAGCAAGGCAGGTCTGGGAAGAACCAAGTATTTGTCTTAACCCCACTGACCCTCAAGAGAGTTTTATACTTGAATCAGTTTAGGTTTTTTTCAGGGGGAGTAGGAGACAGAGAGAGGGTTGCTGTAATCATGTGTTGGGTGTGTGTGTGTGGGGGGGCAAGTTGGAAGTAGACCTGTAAAGCAGAACCTGAGAGCTCTTCACTGGGACATAGAGGACACCTCCAAATAGGTAAATGCCATGAGACATGGCAGGCACACAGGGTTGTTTCCAGAGGAAGTCAGAACTCACTGTTACTCTATTCCTCATCCTCCACCTCCCCTGGCACCAGACAGATGTCTTGGGAGGACTCCAAGGAGGCCTCATCCTGTTCTGCAGATGTTTTGAGGCCAGCTGAATCACACTTCTGGGCCAACATATGGTGCTTCCAGTCCAATAATCCTAATGGGGTCCAGAAGAATAGGTTGGGGAAGAACTTGGCTACCTTTCAAGATCAGAAACATTCATACTTCAGTCCCGGTTTCCCTTAATTATCCACAGTGGGTCTGTCAGTCATGACTTTATTTTCACTCTTTCCAAAGCTACTTGTGTTTTCATCCTGTTGCACCTCTTGGGTGCTCATGAATTCCTTAGGTTTTCATTATGCTGTATAAAGTAATCTTTCTTTTCAGCTGCCATAGCAAGAAGAGCACTGACCTGAGAGTACAACAGATCTAGGTTTGAATCCCACCTCCACCACTTACAAGCTAAGTAGCCAGAGGAAATTCCACCCCTTCTCTAAGACTCAGTTTACTCATCATAAAGTGGAATTATTACTGGCTACTCTTCCTCTTTTGCATCGCTGCTGTGATGAGAAAATGAGATCTTTGATATAAAACACCTTGAACAAAGGTAAAAACTGGGGTGCTGATGCAGTCATATTCAGTTTAACTGAATCTTCTAGCTCTTAGGAAACTGTTGGTTCTAGAATTCTCAAATCTGGTGAATAAGCCTGTTTTCTCTAGCTCATCTTTACATAATTTTATACATTCTGGTCACATCTCTTCCCACCCTTCATCGTTTTAGACTCAAGAGTGCATTTGTTTAATCTATCTTCATATGGCAGGCTCTCCCCCCCCCCCTTGATTATAAAGTGACCCTTTTTTGGATCATCTCCAGTTCCATTATGTCATTCTGGAAGCACTAACACCAGACCTGCACAAATATGTATGTGTGTGTGTGTGTGTGTACCTTAGCTCTGAACCAGACTCTTTACCCCTCCCCAATTATAAATCCTAGAAATGATGATTGCCCAAGACTCTAAACTACAGAGACAGCCAGTTGACTCCAGGCTGAAGCCTCCCCCTCATTTTCTGCGCAGCTCTGGCCCCAAGGGGCTAAAACAGTTCCCCGTCTAGCTCCGGAGAGGCTGGGAGGTGGATAACTAGGATGGGGGGGGGGGTGGTGTTGCGCAAGCGCACGCCGCTGCACGGACCGCCAATGCTGCTGCCTCCCAGAGCAGAGGGAGGGAGAACAGGGGAAGGAAGGGGGAGGAGTTGCAGCTCTCAACCAGAGCCTGTCTCTCTGAGATATCAAAGGGACCAAGAAAGGCAGCTCCGGAGTAGGATGCTCTGCGGGACGCCCTGAGCCGGGGAGCCGCTTAAAGCAGCTTCGGGGACTGGGGCCATTGGGCAGCTTTCACCATGCATCAGTCCCTGACTCAGCAGCGGTCCAGCGACATGTCCCTGCCCGATTCCATGGGTAAGTCTAGCAGCCTTTCCTCCGGGAGGCGGCAGCAAGGGGTGAGTGCGATGTCCTCTGTATCGCAAGCGCCCTGGCTGCCCACAGAGTCAGACTGGGACGCGGGACTAGAGGGGTCCGCGCCTTCCAGCGTCTAGGTGGGGGACTGGAGCCCCAGGGGAGCGGCTGCGGCGGGGCGACTTGCGGAGATTGGAGCGCCAAGCTTGCGTCGGAGTATCCCTGCCCAGGAGTGCGGATGTGTGTGTTTGTGTACGTCTGTCTACGGACTTGCAGCCAGTGGCAAATCCCAGCACTCTGGGATCAAAACGCTTTGCTGCAACCTGCGCCTTTGCTTTTCATTCGACTGTCCCTCTTTGCAAAAGTCCTCCTCACTTCTGAGAGCTCTAACTAAGGAGAATTAGTGAAAGGAGGGTCCTAGCCCCCTCCCAACTCTCTTGAAGCTGCCCAGAAATTTCTAGCTGTTGTGTGTGTGTGTGTGTGGGGGTGTGTGACTTGCACCTCTGTGATGGGGGGGGGGTGTTGCGCAACCCTGGGGGATGGGCGGGGGTAGAGGGAGAAAGGAAGGGGTTGGCAGAAGGGGAATTCCTGAGGAACCACTCAAGAGAGTCCAGCCCTGCCGGGTGCAGCGGCAGAATCAACATTCCTTGAATTTGATTCCAATTCTGCTCCCAACGCAAGGAATGTGCGTGAGTGTGAAAAGGGGCGGTGGGTAGGGCGGGGGCGGACTGGGGACGAGTGAGAGCGGGAGAAAGATCCAGTGCAAGCGAGCCCGTGCGTCTTCTGAAGTCCCGCTTTTCCTCCTCGCGCGGAATTAAGGGGGAGGGGCACCTACCAACACCTTTCCTTCTGGCAACTGGGGGACAGCTACCTTAGAGCACCAATTTGGTTGCCTCTCGAAGCTGCTTTTTAGTAGTTACAAAACAGAAAAGAAATCCAGCCCCCCTCAGCTGTTGGGCACGTTCCCAACCCGTATGATTTCACTGGGTGGAGAAATTAATTTGGAGCCCTGGAGAGGGGGAGGGAATTGTCAAACGATGATCCCACCTAATCTTAAAATTCGCCTCGGATACATTTCAACCAAATCGAATTCTCTCTTTCCAACATAATTAGCATTCTGCCAAATCCCTCCGGCCCCAGTGTCTGCCATACAATCTGCTCAGGTCTTCTCCCTGGAATTTGCGGGAACATCAGCGGGGAGGGGGCGGAGAGAAGATTGAAGCTCCTTTATGAGTTTGTTACTGCTTGCAAAAGACTCAGTCTCAACAAAATTCGTTTACTGGAGAGGTCTCAGAAAATGTTGTCTCCTGGAGAATGGCAAGACTCGTATTTACAATGGCTTTCCATATTCAGTATAAGATTTTGCTTTTTTTTTTTCTTTTTTAAGGACAGGGTATAAATGAGGTCAAGAAATCCAGTCCGAATCTAGATCCCAGAAGTACCAGGTTCCTCCTTACCACTACCACCTCTCTCTCTCTCACACACACACACCACACCATACGCGCACGTGCACACACACACACACACACACGCACCCACACAGAATGCACTCCTTACCTTGGTCGGCTATGGCTCCAACGCTGTTGTTGGTTCCCTGATGCCAAGTGTTGCTTGCAACTGAGGGACTGGGTGGAAGAGTGCAAGGGTTCCGCAGTGCCCACTACTGCTGTGGCTACAACCACTTGCCCACTTGCAAACCAAGTGTCCTGGCCCTGGAGCCACCTGCCTCCAGACAGTGGGCAGTTTGGTGACTCAGGGTTGCTGGTCTGGATGCTACTGTGGAATGGGGGACAAGATGAAAAAAAGTTTTTTATTGGGCGCTTAGTGACTTTCAGCCAATATTGCATTTCTCAAAAGGTCTGTGCACAATAAGCTGAGTGGTCTTTGCCCAGTCCAATCTTGACACTGAAGGACAGGAATCATAGACCCATATTGACGTGGAACTAATGCTATGCATTCTGCTTTTTCAAGTCTGCAGATGGTTGGCACCAATAAATTCCTGAGTCCAGTGGTAACCCTGGGTTTTTGCAGTTTGAATAGGGGAGTCTCCCCGGAGTTCCCTGGCATGGGTCCCGCACAACACAGGCCTGAATCAGCGTCTAGGCTATTTAGGAGCTACTCCCACTTAATACAGCTCTGGCAACGCCTCCCTTGCGTGGTGGGAGGAAGAGAATGGGTGGGTGGGTAGGTTAGTGTTTCAGCTTCCAAGGGCGGAATTTCTGCGGGGATTCCCTTTACTGTCAAGCCACAACTGCAGCCAAGACAGTAAAAGTGTGACACGCAGACACACACTGCACTAGGTACCTGCTTGCTGGCTGCCTGGGGATGAACTGTTAGTCCAAGACTCAGAGCAAAGCAGGCACTTGGGCAATTAGGAAGATGGTAATTTGACTCCACTGCCCCTCCATCCTCTCCCAACAACCCCCCTCTCCTTTTTGGCAACACCGCCCCCAGGCGCTAAGGCACCTATACTACAGTAGGAAATTCATTACTCCCCAACACAATAACACATTTATAATTCTCCCAAGGCCTTGGATGTTTCTACTCAAGAATTAAGTAAAGGGGAGAGGGTGTTGATTTCAGCACCCTTAAGGAGATGTGTGGGAGATTGGCAGGACCTTGAGACCCTTGTGTAGGCAGCCACCTGTTTCCATGATGCTCAAGGCTGGGGTTTCCTGGGACCCACTCTAGGTGGCAAAGCTGATTCAGGTAAGCAAATCTTGGTGTTTTTTTTTTTTTTTTTTTTTAATCAACCCTGAGAATTAGCTAGTCATCAACACAGGGTACCGGGAAGGATACTTGGCCCCCATCTGCTGTACTCCAAAAAGGTTACACACTCTACTTATTCTCTTGGAAGGGAATAATCAAGAATATGTACAAGGTAAAACACAAGTGACAACATCCTGCTTTCTAGCGAATCTCACAGTGGTTTCTGTCAGATACGTAATGCTGGAACTGGTGGACATCATCTGGGTTGTGAACTAGAACTAGTTACAAGTGTAATTGTAGCCATTGTAATCAATATGCTTATTGAGTAAGGTATCTATGAATTTAGAGACATAAAAGAATAGTTGATTAGAATAGAGTAAGCTTGATCAACAAACACTTCTTGGAAGAGGTGAGTTTTGAGCAGGTTTCAAAGGAAGGGAAGGACTTAGAGTCAAAGACCACAGTGCAGGTGGGGGCTCTGATCAGGCAAGGAAACCAGGAGGAGACAGCTGGTTGTATTTGGAAGGGTAGAGGCAGCAAATAATTGGGTGCGTCTGAAACTGAGCATCCTGGTCGTCACCGATCTGGGATGGAGGTGGGGCACTGCAGAGGAGGAGGGCTGCAGCAGTTCTGCAGGGAGCTACTAGGGGGTGGGGTGGGCAGCCAATGCCAATGATGATATTTCAGACTCACTGCTGTTGGCTGCAGAGGTTGTTGTTTAAACAGAAATGTGCTGGACACTAGATAGACAGGGTGGTGACAGATGTTGGGGTTGTGACACTAGTTGGCCAGAAGGCTTTCAGTTCTGGGGAGCACTCAGGTGTACCCTACTTTTTTTCAAAAAGCAATTTTAAGAGCATAGTCCATATTTATTCACATGATTCCTCCCACAAACTTTTTGATTACAAAGGAAAAAATTCCGAGATGTTGCCCCTTGTTTATTCAATAAGTACCAACTGCTTACTAGATATCAAATACCATGATAGAGACTGTTTTCAAGCACCTGCTGCTGCTTTTAAGTACTGTAGCATATAGTGTCTGAATTTTGCGTGTGTGTGTGTGTGTGTGTTAGTTTACTAAATAAAATTGGAATTAGATGTTCCTGTGAAGAACATCTAGGGAAAACCCCAAATTGTACCCTAATGAGTTCAGGACTCTTCTTCTCCTTTCTAAAAACAACCAACAAGAAAATGCCCTAAGCAGACATAATGAGAGGCCTTTTAGGAGCCTAGGCTACACTTTAGAGAACAGGTATGTCTTGCTCTAAGTAGATGTGAATTTTATTAAGTCAAGTTGACACTGGAGATAAACTGAGGTATTATTCTTCATTTTCAAAAAGTTTAACCCCAGAGGTTCCTTAAAATAGTCAACTTACCAGATACAACTAGAAATAATTTCATTTTACATAATGATGTATGTTCCTTATAGTGGAAAATAAGAGGTGTTGGGGAGGAGGGGTCATTTGAGGGGACAGATAATACATATCCAATCTAGGGTTAGGAGAGTTAGGATCTTTTTCCAAAGCAAATCTTGTCTAGAGGTAAGGCCATATGGGGCTGCAGGATCTTTAGCTTTCTCAACTGACTGAATTTTCAATTCAGGTTTCAAAGCAGAAGGGAAAGAAAAATAGATTTTCAAATGACACCATGTGGTTTGCTGAGTCACTTTTTTTTTTTACCTGGCTCCTGTGCATTTAAGAGTTAGAGTGATATTTTCAAAGAAGACCCAAGAGCTGTGAATAAGAGTAAAGGCCAGTTAGTTGGTTGGGAAGCAGCAAGTAGTGAAACAACCAATTTAGTATGATGGTACATACACACACATTACTCCAATTTAGTCTCTAAAGTTCCATGTTTTTCAGTGTAAGGTGCTGAGACATTCATGTATTGCAGATACCCTTGGTGTAGCCAGATGTTCTCTTGCTCTCTTTCGCCAATTTGGGGCTGGGGAGGTCTTCAAGATCCTGTATGTGACAAAAGAGAAGGAAGACAAAAATGGGGGGTGATTTTGAAAGTTTAGGTTACAGCCCCTTTGTGGAACAAACTGCAAGGTTCACTGAGAAGTTCTATCATCAAATATACCTAGGGATCCTAGTTAAGAGACTCATTCGAGTCCTCAGATCAAGAGGAGAAATAACTAACCTTCCCTTTCCCTGTGTCAGACAGTCCTGACCTCCAGGCTTTGATTATTGTATTTACCACCCATCAGCTTGCCATTTGCATCCCTAATAGCCTCTCACACAAAGTCTCCCCCTCCCCCACCATGTCATAGGTGTCTCTCGTGGCCCTGTTTCCTCATCGAAGCTGGGCTATGGTCTGTCTCACTGCAGAGGAGCCTCATTTCCCAACTTTCCACACCTCTTCTCCCAGGGTGAGCCTTGGCACATTAGTATGTGGGTGCCTATAAATGCCCAAAGCACTCCTACTTTTCCATGTAAAGTAGTCTTTGAATAGCACTGTATCAGAAATGACCCTGATGAGTCATGTCCCTCACTTTCGATATTGACATCAGGGGAGACTGCCAGCCCCTTCCAACTCCCTTGGAACCTTTGGCAGGGATCACAGTGGGGAATATAAGATGGATGGTGGAGCTGACACAGGGTGGCACTCATGGTGCTTTTCTTCCACCTGGGAGGGGATATCTTCAGGGGATTGCCAAGGCCAGCCACAGCCCCTCCCTCTCGTTACCATCAGGTATCCTGTATTGCAGTTGGTTTCCTCAGCTCCCTCCCTCTTCCTCCATCCCCTCTCCCCTCCCTCCCAACTGCTTGCTGAGGCTACAATGCAGCCTCCCTAAATGACAGGATCTTATGAACAGCCCCAAGAGGTTTCTTTAGGGCCATAAAGTCAAGGCACCTGGGTGGGCCATCCCATCCTAAGGTTCCCTACTGCTTCATCTTTCCCACCTTCCATATACCTCCACTAGAAAACTGTGCTCTTTTTAATGTTTCCTGTTCATTCTCTTGCCCCCCCTCTCCCCACCCCTAGATGATAACTCTGCCCTAGCATTTCTTCTTGAGCGCCTTTCCTCATGCCAAAGAAATGCCAGCTGAGTGTGGAGCGGTGCTCAATTCCTTTAAAAATTTTTAAATTGAAAAGTGAGCCTAGGTACCATTTTTATCTGATTTAATAGGCCCGTTTCTTTTTTTTTTAATTAGTTTGCACTATCATGTCTGATTAGTCCTAAGTGGGAAAATGGGTTCCATATCATTTATATTGATGTCATCCTCACATAAGCCTAATGTATATGTGATAATCCTTCTTATGTACCTCCCTTGAAACATATCTTTGTGGACTAATGGCCTCCAGACACTTATTTTATTACACACATTTGTTATGTGACAAATTTTGCCAACACAATTTTAAAGTTTATACATGAGATGGCAAATGTCAGAAATAAATGAAAAAAAAAAACAATAACTGGCTTGGTTCTGCTATTTACACCGAAAATGAAGCTTCATATCTCTAGCTTATGAAAAAAAAATCTTAGTTGCATATTGGTTGTAAAATACTTTCATTTAATACCCTCATGTATACACTTTCCATTTATCATATGTTGTATAATTTGGTCTAAAAATGCTCTACTAAATGGGTATGACTATCTTTTATAGAATATGAAAACCACAAAAATTTGCTTTATGTAACTGATGAAATTTATTCTGTTGCTTATTTTCAAACTGGAAATCTATTTTTATTATAAAAGTGGCACCTGATGACTGCAGAAACTGAAGCTCCTTCTTTTTCCCATAATTCCTCTTCCCAGAGGTAACCCCAGGTACTAGTTGGAGTTGCAAAGGGAAAGCTTCCTAATGGTATTTCTTTAAGTCATTCCCTTCCCTTGCTGAAATGAGCAATTTCAGTTTTTCTCTGTGTTTTCAGGAGCCTTCAATCGGAGGAAACGGAATTCCATCTATGTCACCGTGACTTTGCTTATTGTGTCCGTGTTAATTCTCACGGTGGGCCTTGCTGCAACCACCAGGACGCAGAATGTGACTGTTGGGGGTTATTACCCGGGAGTTATTGTAAGTATAGAAGGCATAGCTAGGCATCAGTAGCTTGGTGGCTACAGAAATTAGCGCTCTACTAGGACACTTTTCAATTCTGAGTTTCCAGTGTTTGCTCAGATTTCCTCCTTTCTGTCACTCTATATTTATCCATCTCACTGTTTAGGATTTCAATTTTTAGGTTTAGGTGATATTACTAATTAGCAGTATTAATATGAAGCTAAGGTCCTCTCTTTCTCTCTGGGCATCTGCTTTGCTATCTATCATAGAAGTCACCTGATTTTAGCTGTGAGGACTCTGGTATCTTGACATGTCATGACCAATAAATAGTATTGGTCACTTAAAGTGATCTTGCAATACTAACAGGAAAAATTTGTAGAATATATACTCCTAAAATAAATATATTTATTTATAAATGATATACAAATTCTTAAAATTTACACAAAAGTGGAAATTCAAACGTTAGATTAAAATGAAATTAACAAGGACTGGCGTTGTGGCATAGCAGGTTAAGCCTCCACCTGCCATATCAGCTTCTCATATGGGCGCCATTTGGAGACCTAGCTACCCCACTTCGATCCTGGGAGAGCAGCATAAGCAGGCCCAAGTGCTTGGGCCCCTACACCCATATGGAAGACTCGGAAGAGGCTTCAGGCTCCTGGCTTTGGCTTGGCCCAGCTCTGGCCATTGTGGTCATTTGGGGAGTGAACCACTGGATGGAAGATCTCTCTCTCTCTCCCCCCTCCTCTCTCTGTTTCTCCACCTTTGAAATAAATTTAAAAAAAGAAATAAAAAGAAATAAACAGTACATTTTACTATCTTCATATGAACACTAAAATGCAATAGGTTGTTATTCAGTTAGTGTCAAGTTTGTCATGAAAGATAGTAGCTCTAAATCCCTATTTCAAATGGCCTACTAGATTATTGTGAATATTTTTGAGTGACTTCTTATCAGTTATGACTAAATCCTCTTTGAAATCATTGTTCTTAGTATTATTTATTTATTTGAAAGTCAGTTACAGAGAGGTGGAGAGACAGAGATCTTCCATCCATTGGTTCACTCCACAGATGGCCCCAAAGACCAGTGCTCAGCCAGGCCAAAGCTGGGAGCCAGGAGCTTCATCTGGGTCTCGCATGTGGGTAGTAGAGTCCCAAATATTTGGGCCATCTTCTGCTACTTTGGCGTTGTGGCATAGCAGGTTAAGCCTCCACCTGCCATATCAGCTTCTCATATGGCGCCATTTGGAGACCTAGCTACCCCACTTCAATCCTGGGAGAGCAGCATAAGCAGGCCCAAGTGCTTGGGCCCCTACACCCATATGGCTATTATCAGGGAACTGGATTGGAAGTGGAGTATCCAGGACATGAACTAGTGCCCATATGGGATGGCAGCATCACAGGTGGCAGCTTTATCTGCTACACTACAACCCTGGTCCCAGGAATCATTGTTTTTTATTTTTTTTTGTGTGTGTTTTTTTAAAGATATATTTTATTTATTTGAAATACAGAATTACAGAGAGAGGTAGAGCCAGAGAGAGAGGGAGAGTGATCTTCCATTCAATGATTCACTCCCCAAATGACCACAATAGCCAGAGCTGAGCTGATCTGAAGCCAGGAGCCAGGAGCTTCTTCCAGGTCTCCCACGTGGGTGCAGGGGCCCAAGGACTAGGGCCTTCTTCCACTGCTTTCCCAGGCCATAGCAGAGAGCTGGATAAGAAGTGGAGCAGCTGGGACTCCAATCGGCGCCCATATTGGATGCCAGCACTGTAGGCTGGGGCTTTAACCTCTGCACCATAGCACTGGCCACCTTGGAATCATTGTTGTTGTTGTTGTTTTTAAGATTTATTCACTTGATGCCGGCGCCGAGGCTCACTAGGCTAATCCTCCGCCTGCGGCGCCAGCACCCCGGGTTCTAGTCCGGGTCGGGGTGCCGGATTCTGTCCCGGTTGCTCCTCTTCCAGTGTGGTGCGCACCGCAGAGCAGCGCACCGCCAGAGCAGCCATTGGGGAGTGAACCAACAGAAAAAGGAAGACCTTTCTCTCTGTCTCTCTCTCTCACTGTCTACTCTGCCTGTCAAAAAAAAAAAAAGATTTATTCACTTGAAAGTCAGAGTTACATAGAGAGAGAGGAGATGGAGAGAGAGAGAGGAGATGGAGAGAGAGAGAGAGAGAGAGAGAGAGAGAGAGGTCTTCCATCTGATGGTTCACTCCCCAATTGGCCGCAATGATTGGAGTTGCGCCAATCCAAAGCCAGGAGCCAGGAGCCAGGAGCCAGGAGCCAGGAGCCAGGAGCTTCTTCTGGGTCTCCCACGCAGGTGCAGGGGCCCAAGGACTTGGGCCATCCTCTACTGCTTTCCCAGGCCATAGCGGAGAGCTGGATCAGAAGTGGAGCAGCCAGGCGCTTCAGGCCAGGGCGTTAACCTGCTGCGCCATAGCGCCAGCCCTGGAATCATTGTTTTTAGTTTTTTTTTTTTTTTAAAGATTTATTTGTTATTTACTTGAAAGTCAGAGTTACACAGAGAGAGAAGGAGAGGCACAGAGAGAGAGAGAGACAGAGAGAGAGAGAGAGAGAGGTCTTCCATCCGTTGGTTCACTCCCCAGATGGTCGCAACTGCCGGAGCTGCACCACTCCAAAGCCAGGAGCCAGGAGATTCTTCCAGGTCCCCCACGTGGGTGCAGGGGCCCAAGGACTTGAGTCATCTTCCACTGCTTTCCTAGGCCGTAGTAGAGAGCTGGATCAGAAGTGGAGCAGCTGAGTCTCCAACCGGTGCCCATATGGGATGCTGGCACCACAGGCAGCGGCTTTACCCGCTACGCCACAGCGCTGGCCCTGGAATCTTTGTTTTTTAATGTCAGTGTCACAGCCACAATGTTGCTGACACAAAACTGACCCTGGGAGTTCTAGTGTCAACACTGCCATTTTTTTCTTTAAAAAAAGATCTATTTATTTAAAAAATTTGTTTATTTTGAAAGGCTGAGTTACAGAGAGAAAGGGAGACATACATGGAGAGAAAGAGAAATCTTCCATGCACTGGTTCACTTCCCAAATGGCCACAAAGGCCAGGACTGTGCCAGGCTGAAGCCAGGAGCCAGGAGCCCCGTCTGGGCCTCCCATGTGGGTGAAAAGGGCCCAAGTACCTGGTCAATCTTTAACTACCTTTCTTAGAGCATTATTAGGAAGGTGGATATGAAGCAGAGGATCCAGGATTTAAACTCACACTGCAGTATGAGATGCCAGCATTGCAAGAGTGGTCCAACTTACTGCATCGCAATGCCAGGCCCCTCTGCTTGTTTTCTTGTTGCTCACTTGCACTCACATTATTCAAGTTCAGACTGTGGTTTCTCAACAAGAATATTTCCAAACCTCTTATCCATTTTGTTGGGACAAACTAGATATTACAAATTGGGCATACATAAAATACCTCACCATCAACCCTTTGCTGCTTGGAGTGTGCCCTCTTCCCACAGAATAGCTCCCTCCCAGTCATCTGAGAGTCCCGCGACTGAGTGCACCACTGACAGTCTCTTTATTGAACATTAGTAACACCGAATTTCTTATTATACTCTATAAATAATAAATAAGAACCATAATTTATTTCTATATTACAGTGGATTGTTTTACCCACTCCTACGGAGTATGCAATACATCTTGGAGAACACGGAACATGTTGCATAAAAAATCTTGTTTGGGTCTGTGGCCACTTCTGTTGAACCTAGAGGTTAGGTCATTTTTTTTTTAAGAGAGAGGGAGGGAAGGAGAGGGAGAGGGAAGAGAGGGGGAGAGAAGAGAGAGAGAGAGAGAGAGAGAGAGAGAGAGAGAGAGAGAAACATCTTCTATCCACTGGTTCACTCTGTAAACGGCCGCATCAGCCAGAGTTGGGCCAAGCCAAAGCCAGGAGCTTCTTCCAGGTCTCCCACGTGGACGCAGGGGCACAAGCACTTGGGTCATCTTCTGATGCTTTCCCAGGTGCATTAGCAGGGAGTTAGATCAAAAGTGGAGCAGCTGGGACACGAATCAGCACTCATATTGGATGGTGGCATTTTGGCCATTGTTTAACCTGTGCCACAATGCCAGCTCCTGGGTCATATTTTTAATATCAGTTAAATGGCTCCCCAGTTGTAAGTGCTAGAGAGCAGGAAAAATGTTTATCATGGTTTATTGTTTTTATCTTTTAGCACAGTGAAGAGGTCACATGTGCTTTTGGTTGTTCTGTTTCATCTCTCTCTCTCTCTCTCTCTCTCTCTCAGAGGTGGAGAAGTGGAGGTTGGAGAAAGAAGAAAAGGAAGGGGAAGGGGTTAAAGATGATGCCTTTGACAAACCAGTGCTGGGAGTGACCAAGCCTGGTGCCTGTTGCCTAGATCACCAGTTCCATTCCACAATTGGCCTCCTCCATAGTATTTGCAAAACTGAGGCCTGACTTGGGCTATGCCTCCCTGGAGCTGAAGGCTGCTGGGGGAAGTTCCTTTATAGCCCTTGAGCAGACAGGGCTCTCCCCAGCTTAGAGCAGGTGTCCCACAGACACTGTTTGGTGCTTGGTGCCCTCTGTTAAACATGTGTTGTGAGAAGTCATCCAGTCCACTTCCTGTGGTGAGGTGAGAAAAGCGGTAGTCAGCAGAATTGGGTTTTATTTTTAAACACAAGCAAGAGAGGTGGGAGGGAAGGAGGGGGTAAGAAAGCATTTTGGTGGCTTGGAAAAGCAATTTATAGGGTCTGTGTGACTTTGTGTGCTTCAGATACTGCATTAGTAAAATATTTTTGACTGATGAGCAAATGCCAGAGCCAAGATTGAGTCCCTGTGGGTGAGGGGAGGGTGTTTTCCATATCAGTTAATAATACGAACTTCTATTTATGAAAAGTGGCTATGAACTTTCTCTGTGGATTATCTGACCATGGGTGGCTAGGTTGGAATACATTAACAGAGGAGGGTGTATGATTATTTTTCAAGTACCTGACTTTCAGCTAGCACTGGAAGTTGAAGCAATGGGGGTGTGTGTCTGTGTACTTGTGTGTTACTGAAA